AGAACTTGTTTCGTAAATTCGCTGCTAAACTGAAAATATTGCTTCTTACCAAAATAGACACATTTTTAGGGTTCCATACTCGAAGGGTAAAACCTATTACTAAGAAGCTCTTTGTCTATCTGTCCATCTATCACCAAGCTTTATCTCATGAACCGTGAAAGTAAGACAGTTGAAATTTTCACAAATGATGTGTTTCTGTTGCCGCTATAACAAGAAACACTAAAAAACAGAATAAAAAATATTTAAGTGCGGCTCTCATACAACAGACGTGTTTTTATTCCATTTTTATAGATAACTAGCGACCCGCCCGGCTTCGCACGGGTGCAATGTATGATACATTTAAGCATTCCTCTTGAATCACCCTATCTAATAAAAAACCGCATCATAAACCGTTGGGTAGTTTTAAAAATCTAAGCATACATAGGAACAGACAGACAGCAGGACGTCTTTGTCTTATACTATATAGTGATGTTAACCCTTCGTGCGCGAGTTCGACTCGCACTTGGCTTAACTCTTTTTTTCCACGAAACGGTCATCATTCGCCGTTGTTTCGTCAACCCGTTGTTACTCACAAATTGCTTTCGTCGCCGCAGCCCCGAGGCAAATTTACTTTTCTCCCGCCCCCCCTCGATATATTCTCAAATTGTTGTTGTTCTCAATCAAGTAACATTGATTTCGTAATAAAGTGTTCTAATAAATTTTATTATCATTTATATCACCATAACCGGTATTAGGAATTAGCCCTAACACTAATAATTTCACTCTTGCTGAAATCACAGATCGTATTCTTCTCGACCATACCCCTGTGATTTCTTTTGGGATACTTTTCAACTGCATTGATCTCATTCGTCGTTTCTGAACTTTTCAAAAATGATAATTCAATCCTTATTTCACAAAGTTATTTAAGGTCGATATTAACTTTAATTATTATTTTTAAATTGTCTTTATCAGCATTAGCTGATCTCTAAGTAAAGATGGACCTTAAAAATGTTTCGATAAAACTGTCGCAAAATTTTTTGCCGGTGCCAGAACATTACGTCTAGAAGACTAGAACGCCGGGTTCGAATCCACAGCCATGTAAAAACATCATCAAAGTTAAGTACGTTGAATGGTGAGAGTATCTTAAACAAAAACCACATTCATAAAAAACCCGACAAAAATTTTGATATAACCGGGCTATAACGCTGAAATGCAGGTCTAACAAAAGCCATCTCAGTCGTTCGAAAACTGTACAAAAATCTAAAAACAATGCTTTAATATGACATCACATTCGTTCAAAACCATACCAAAATCTAAAAGCGACGTTCAAATGTTGGAGCACCCTGAACTCAAGCTATTACGGTTTTACAAAACGCGTTCTAAAGCTAAATAGCGTTGCTGTCTCCGTCGCCAATTGAATAACTGTGGAAAGCAATTTGTGACGAACCGTACAGAAAAAAATTTCCATACGGATATTGAAAATGGACAAACGCAGAGGTCCTCACGCAACGAAACACATGTCAATAGAAAATATATATGTCAATAAAACGGAAACGTACCCGAATGAATTTCCAAAACAATTTGTCGCGTGAATGCACCTGATAAATATACAATATTCTCCCATCGACTGCACCTACGTGAAAAGTGGCACTGAATATAATACTGTGTATTGATACAATTCGATATATTTTTATAAGGTTCGCTTGATCTCGCTACGTGAAAGATTAATGAATTTTCAGGAGTCTTATTAAATCGTTAAATATTATGAAAAATGAGAAATATGAATGAAAAGCATCACAAAGAGAGTAATGAAAATTAATGAATTTTTGCCAACTTAATTTATGGTTAATCATTAATGTACAATTGAAATGAAAAACAATTATTAAAACGTCATTAGCATTGTCGAAAAGAATCATTAATCAACAAAGTTTCAGGTTTCAGCGGCGCGGCGAATAAAACTTTATATTCTAAATGAATTAACAGATACCAATGGGTTTCTTATCTCTCATAGTTACATGTAATGATAAATCATTGATATTTCTCGGATATACGTAAAGTTTTAACCGAGAGTAAATAATATAGTAATTTTTTAGCTATACACTACATATAGTGTATAACTAAGAAATCATATTTCAATCTCGTAAATGTAAATAAAAATTATTAGATTAACGCCATCTGTTAGTTATTGTAACAACTGACTAATTAACGACAAGCAAATAAGTGTTTGCCTGTCATCGTAAATAATAATGATATTCCACACGACATATTATTTTCAATAGGTAAGTAATAAGAAGAGTTCTAACCACTCTTAAGGTGCGCTTAGTTTTGTTATGAGAATTTTCCTACGTAGAGTAAGAAGAATCGATATAAAATAATTAACAACTGGATGACAGGTCATAATTATACTCCTGTTACTATACATTATGGTAATACACGTTCGTTTCGGTAGATGGCGCTACAATTTCTTTATGGCAGCTTGTTTAATATGCCAATACAAACGGACGCTCTACATTCAAATTTCTATAGAAAGTGACTGTTATTTTCTGTGTCCAGAAAGTAAAATTTGATTTAAAAAGTGAGATTGGAATGTTTTAACGTAGAAAATACTATGCCGTTCATAAATAATTCTAAATAACAAAGATATTGTGATAATGCAAAAAAAATACTTTTGAGGTTAGAATCAATTGGACGTTTACAACTAAATAGTAAACGTATCATTAAATTTATAAAGCTCCAAAACGGGTTACGTTACTTATGTTCGGATGAATATAAAATCGGGTTTACTGGGGCACTTCGGATCCGCAAAAGACCGGAATAATTTTAAAGTGTTCTACTCTTGGGACATCGTTCATTGGGTGCAATGGAAATGTTTGAAAATTTTCATGGAAAAAACTTATACAAAATAAGTATAAAAAAATAATGTATGTTCAAACATGTTTTAATGAAAATATTATCAGATTTGTAATGTTCAGCAACTGATGCGGGTGTTCAGCTCGTTATGAATATTTTTGAAGCCTGGGAAAAGTCGCAGGATGCCTTAGGAATATTCTGTGACTTAACCAAAGCTTTCGATTGTGTACAGCATGAGACCTTGGTCAGGAAACTACGCCACTATGGTATAAGAGATGCCGCACTCAATCTTCTGAAATCGTACTTGAGCCATCGAATTCAGAGAGTTGACGTGAATGGCAAGAGATCTCCCGGGGCCTTGGTAAATATGGGGTCCCGCAGGGATCTATTCTTGGGCCTTTTCTCTTCCTCATTTACATAAATGATCTACCTTATCTTGTTAATAATAATCATGAGATAGTATTGTTTGCGGATGATACCTCTTTAATCTTTAAAGTAAACCGACGTTCTTTAAGTTATGACGATGTAAACAATACTCTATCTATTGTTGTACATTGGTTTAGTGCTAACAATTTACTGTTGAATAATAAAAAAACTAAATGTATTACATTTACAACTTCCTCCAATGTTAAACATGTAAAAACTGATGTACTTTTATATGGGGAAGCGTGGGACCCTATTGACTCAATTGTATTCCTTGGCATAACTATTGATGCCAAACTGCAATGGGGCCCCCATATTAATAGACTGGCGAGTAGACTTAGCTCAGCCGCTTTCGTGGTCAAAAAAATAAGACAGTTAACTGATGTTGATACGGCTCGCTTGGTATATTTTAGTTATTTTCACAGTATAATGTCTTATGGCATTCTGCTTTGGGGTAACGCGGCCGATATTAATACAATCTTTATCTTACAAAAGAGAGCTATTCGTGTAGTTTACAATCTGGGCCCCAAAGAATCGTTAAGAAACTTGTTTAAAGAGATAAAGGTATTGACTGTTGCTGCTCAATACATTTTTGAAAATGTTTTGTATGTCCATAAAAATAAGGATAAATTTTTAAGACATAATAATGTTTATGATATAAATACTAGGAACAAAAATAAATTGATCCTACCCACAAGTAGACTCTTTTTTTGTAGACTAGAATCTTTTATGGGACAATGTATACGTTATTACAACAAAATTCCAGAAAACGTTCAAAATTCATCAATAGCTAAATTTAAAAAAATTGTAAAAGAACGTTTGTGTGTTAAAGGCTACTATAATATTAATGATTATTTAAATGATAACACACTCTGGTAATGAACTGATCGCTCCAGGCTCTTTCAATCGAAGTTCTTATATTGTATTTTAACAAATTTATGTCAAACTGCTTATTTAAAAAAAAAGCCCGCTGAGTTTCTTTCGCCGGTTCTTCTCAGTACAGTGGCTTTCTTTTCCGAACCGGTGGTAGTGTTTTGACTATGAATGGGTGAGTGTAATGCTCCTATGTTGAATAAATACATTTGATTTTGATTTTGATTTTGTTCAACTTCGTTTTAAATAAATGCAGTTGATGACATAAGTTTTAACCATTGAGCTAATGCACCGCTGTCGATAGAGTATGATAGCATAAAATAAGGAGTTCATCGATAAAAATTGCGTTAAAAAACGAAATAGTTCCTGAAGTCATTCGCAAATCGACTCCTCGTGGTAACGCCCCACCTCACACGACTCAGAATACTAGATCAAATAATAGCCGTGACTATGAAAGTTATTTTAAGGCGTTATTTCACAAGGTAAACTCGATAACTAACGCATCTTTCGAGCAGTCAACATAATATACAAATTAAACATATTTATAGACAAAGTTATTAACTGGAAGTTGCAATGATCGAAATTTCCTCTGGAATTGCCTTCTCGTTTTGAAAAAATACTTGCGGACCTGCTCTACAACCAGCTAGAGCAAACCCACCTGCCTTTCTTCCCATCCCTCTTATCAAGCATTTATATTATTACCGATCAAGGTAGGTGCAATTAAATTTAGAAGCAAAGGATGTGTCTCTCTACTCGTGCACAGTTGTAAAGACCTTGCACAAGTCAATGACATTTAAAGGGACTAGAATCTGGATTTAGTCGAGTCGAACGCACCAGTGCTCTAGTGAATTGCATAGAGGAAGGACAAGGGAAGGATGCTCTCAAGAATCCTGTTCGTGTTATTCTATATTAGAAGATGCAATGGAGTCATTTACCGTTTGAACGGTGAGTAATTTAGTTTTGATATTTTCTTATTAAATAGGGATTGGAAAAGAAGCATTGCAGGTGCGCGAGGTTGCCTGCAATGCTTCTTTAAAAACTTAAATAAGCCGTTCATCTGATTCTGAATAACTACCCCTATCAACGACCTTCAAAACCATAGGGTTTGAAATTTCTTGTCAAACATATAAACCATACACAAGACGAAACATACAAAAATAAAACTTACATTTCACCCTAGTCTTCGGTTGGGCCGTGGTATTTTCCCCAATAGGGCTACCCATTCGAGCATAAGCTGTTTCAGAATCCCACCCCAAGCAAAAAGTATAAATACTTCTCCTTACGCTGGTTTTTTTTTTTTTTTTTTGAGGACCCGACTCTACCACGCTGAACTCAGATAGAGTCTAGCGTGTTAGAGTTTGTCATTCAACTTGAAACAGTAATGCCTAGTTTCTTCACTGTTTCAAGTTGAATGTGATAAAGTCATTAATAGAAAGTAAATATTTGTTACTAAACTAAAATTATATATACTTCACATCGTTGTGTCTTAAAAACCGAATCTGCTATTACCAATACACAAGCCCCATGTTTCCACGACATGAAATTAGTATGGGACCATCTGGAAGCTGAACTAAAGGCAACGCAAAATTAATTTTTAAAACGGGCTTACACAAGACGGAGTTCTCAGGTGACAGAATTGAGAGCCTCCTCCTCTTGGATAGTCGGTTAAAAGGACTCTATGTTGAAGAGCGAACTAACAACTGACACATTTTCATCCGTTTTAATTCCGACGAAAGCTTTTGAGCAATTGGTTGTATCAATCTTCAGTGAATGAGTGAATTTTTGACCTTACCCCATAAAGTAAACGACTTAAATTTTTAGTTGGAATTGGAATTTGAACTGATCTAACATCAGTGGGCAACGGCAAAAATAGCGCCCCAGATATCGCTGATCGAAACCGTTACTCCAGGATTAAAAATAATCTTAGTCAGACAATAGTCTACAACAGCGAGGTAACATCATGAGAGTAGTTTTTTATCATAATTGCGTAAAAGGACAAAGCTACGAGGAAAAATCAGCAAACACATTTTTCCGTTTTAACATTTTTTTACTGTCAACTATTAATTCAGTGTTCAAGAAATTTTAAACTTTTTTCAGTTTATTAGAATTCGTTTCTGCGACGGCTGACTGTGAATCGATATCCATTATCCACAGTACATATGGAGCGCGCATATAAAGTGCAGTAACAAATTCTTGTGAACTGGTTTTATTTAATAATACTTTGGCCAATAGCACGAACATCAAATGTCAAACATTTTTTATCAACTAGTTTTAATTTTTAACTTCTTGTTTGTTTCTTCGACAGAAACGGAGTACAATCGTATGCCGGCTCTGTTCGGGTTGGACGATTATCAACCTTGTCTGTGCAAGCCGGGCGGCGTTTATTGCTTGGCACGTTTCGACCTGAACATAGATGGACAGAATGACCTTCACGCACTTATTCGAGTGAGGCATAAACCAGTATCAATTGAAACTGGGTATCACGACCCCTAAACTCTAAATCTCGCGGATGCAGTTAGTTTGCTAAACTACCAGTAAAATCCTACCTGCCTCTACTATCAAATTCCATATAATTGGCAGTTATGTACAATTTATTACCGTATGTACATTAATTCAATGTGTGAATATGTCACTCGACACGGTCGTTTATTTAAATATGTCAATGGAATTACGGCAAAATGTCAACACAAGTGAAATACTTGGCACTACAAAAATCTTTTGTTTTATTTTTAAATTGGCTAGTGACTACGATCATACTTGATGGTCCTCAGGGCATGGTTTTAAGCGATAAACGCACTATCTCAATCTTGCTTTAACGTTGTCCTCCTATTTTGACGATTTCGTTATTTTAACGATTCTGAAAAAAGAAAAACAAATCAAATTGTTTTATGGTGGTCGAAATTGTATTACAATATGCTTCAGTGTACTTTGCCACTGTATTATACCTTGAGTATTAATCTATTTATTGACAAAAATTGACATCTTTAATCCGTTTTCACTGATGTTCTAAATAATCTTTAAGGACCCAGATACTTCGTACAGCCACTCAGGCAAGTGTTTGTTTATTTCAGTAATGTTTAAATACAAAGAACAATGTGGTGATTATTTATTTCAGGAGTATTCTGATTATCAGATTCGGCATTTTAATCACTCATACGTTGAAAGAGGCATTTGCGTTAAGAAAAGCTGTAGGACTTATTACGAAGACAATTCTCTGGGAAGTAATGTGGACCTAAGTAAGGCCCTTGGAGAGTGCTTCAACAGATCATTATGGCGTGACTATCAGCTGAAGGCAAGACTATCAAAAATATACTACTGTGATACACACAATGAGGCAAATGAGCCGGATACCTACGATGGACTTTTCTTGATCGTTATCATTACAATACTAGTCTTGAATATCTTTGGAACCGCCTACGAAATGCTGTCTGAGAGGTCCGGGAAACAAATCAACGTTCGTCTAGGTAACGAGAATATTTTATCCTTCTTACTCCATATTCATGGTTCCTTTGGAATCCTTTGACCGCATTCATCATGCAAGCTACCGTTCTAACTCTTATTTCAAAACTTTCGATCGTTGCGATAGAGAGATGTTGCAAAAGCACACAAATCCTTTACATTGATTATGTTACATTTACCGGTGGTAGGGCCACGCAACAGTCTTTTGCGGACGAGTGCAACGACCTCACAGAAGACCGGCGTGAAGTGGAAGTGTAATACTTCTGCGTTTCGTCTGGTGAGTGAGGTAGCCGGGACCGACTTTATTAAAAGGTGGCAACGGATCTACAACCCTACTGGTGTAGCAAATATCGTTGGGTGGTGGTTATCACTTAATATCAGGTTAACCGCAAGCTCGTTTGCCACCTTCTCGCATAAAAAAACTGCAATTAAATATTTTGCTTTAAATTAATATGACACTAAGCATTTTAATGTCTTGTATATTTTTAAATGTCTTGTTTTAGCCCACATATTTCTGTCGAGTTTCTCTCTGCGGCAAAACTTTATATGGCTTACGACACCGGAATCAACGAATGTCAGATTTGAGAGACTTCAAGGTTTGCATGGAATAAGGTAAAAGCAATCTCTTCGTAACGACCAAAGATTGCGTTGTCCAGGGGTCTAATTATTTAATTCAATACTATAACTGGCAATTAGACCCTATTACGCGATTATCTATTATTTTAATAAATGGTTCGTTAAATAAATTGTTGCTGGTTAGAGAAGGGTTTGATGGATATATCGATGCCAATGCGCTAAAATCTTAATGTTCTAAATGGTAATTAACTTCTAAAACAGCCATTAAGTTTATTCACTGGATGGACGTCACGCATAATTTCTTTTTTGGATATATGCATATATTAATTATACATGCATATATTTAAAAATAAATGATTTTATACAGACATAATTTTATTTTTCGATATATACGTCTCAATTTTCAATTAACATATTGAAAAATAAAAATTTTAACAAAGATCATTCAAAGCAAGAGCGACGACAACACAACCCAGTTGAAAGAGTTCTTGTTTTTGCATCAGTGATTTAGGTCAGGCTATGCCATTCACTTTTGGAAGTTTTTGAATTTGCTTAATGCATTCTGCATATTTGATTACTATAACTCTTTATATAAAATAGAAAATGCTCACAGTAAAGCTGTGTAAAGTATCCGGACGTACGCTTTTCAATTTATTAAACTTAAACAGCTTTAGTATTTATAATAACAATCTATGAGTATAGACCACTGCTGGGCAAAGATCTCTATACAATAGGTATAAGGACATTGGCCATACATAGTGCAGTGGGGCGCCAAACAGACGAAGTAAATCTAACAAAAAAAACCGAATTATTAAAAAGGTGTTTTAATAATTCTTTTTTTAATATTGCTTAGATATGAAGCATTTCATCGGGATGATTTTTTTTCATCGATGAGCATAAGCATATCAGCAGTAAATTCTGTAATTATAATTTCTCAAACTACCCGCAAATTTCAGACCAATTATAACCTTTTTGATGATATTCGCACACAGCGTGTTCATCGTAACGACATTTACCGACAACCCCCATGAGTTTGAAAAGGTAAGACTTACTTTTTTAGTGTAGTTTTTCTAAAATATTCTTAATAAAGATATTTTAATGACAATAACGTTCTGTATTCTTTTTATATGGATTCAACAATGTAGCCGAGGTGGTAAAAACTTAAAATTTACAATCAACATGGACCCTGTAAGTGTAGAGCAATAGTAAAAAATCGTTAAGATTCAAATACAACCTACATTACTACTCATACATTAGATTACATTTTTATATTACATTAAAATTTTTATAATAAATTATGCGTGCAATTTCGATTAAACTTAATATAATTTTATTACATTTATTACATATAAATGTAATTACAACTCATAGGTAGGCTTAACGCGGCTAGTGACAAGAGAGCTGGTTCTTTTCTCGCTCAAAGATTAAGCATAACTATTCAGGGAGGAAATCAAGCTAGCGTTGTTGGCACCATGCCGCGTGGATTAGATAATATATAATTTCATATTTAATCTTGTAAATATTAGATAAATAAAAAGTATTATGAGATACATGTAAACATATATTTCGCATAAACATATAAAACATTAAACAGATATTTGAACCCTATTATTGTGTTATCCAATATGTCCATTATAAGGATTTAAGAAGATAAGTGCTTATGAAACACTACTCAAGTGAAACTTGGACTTTTCAGAGCTACGATACTATCCACTATCAGCTGATATTCAACGGATTGGTTCTGATGCAAATAGTTTTCGTTATGTCCGGTTTCTTGCTGGCATACAATTTGCAAGTTCGTAGCGAGAAGAGGGAGATAACTTGGAAGACTTTGCCAAAAGTTATGTTCCTGCGATTATGTAGGTGAGTTTGGTTTCTGATCGAGTTAATTAGAAACAAAACCGGCCAACTTGCGTGTCGGACTCGCGCACGAAGAGTTCCGTACCATTTTTTTTTTTTTTAATTTTTAATTTTTTTTTTATTTGAAAAGTTGCCAAACGAGCAGACGGTTCACCTGATGGTAAGTGAATACCGCCGCCCATGGACATCTGCTACACCCTAGTGTTACAGATGCGTTGACAACCTTTTGAAAATTGGGCTCCGGCTACCTCACTCACCAGACGAAACGCGAAATTATTTGTCATACTTTCACTTTACGCCGGTCTTCTGTGAGGTCGTGATACTTACCCGGACGGGCCTGCCCATTCGTGCAACAGCCGAGGCTACTGCGTGGCCCTACCACTGTTGAATTTTATTTTCAAAGTCAAATATCTTTATTCAATATAGAAGCATTCACTTACTTATTGATAGTCAAAAAACTCTACCACCGGTTCGGAAGTAAAGCCTGAGAAGAACCGGCGTAAGAAACTTAACGGGACATTTTTTTTTTACTTTTCAAAAAAATTACAAATATGTGTACAATTATTAAATTCCACTTGAAAGAGCCTGGAGCGATCAATTCATTTCCAGAGTGTGTTATCATTCAGATAATCACTAATACTATAATAGCCATTAACACACAAACGTTCCTTTACAAGTTTTTTGAATTTAGCAACGGATTCATTTTGAACATTTTCTGGGATTTTGTTGTAAAAGCGTATACATTGTCCCATAAAAGATTTACTTATTCTACGCAATCTAGTTGAGGGTAGAACTAATTTATGCTTGTTCCTAGTATTTACATCATGCACATTACTAAATCTTGAAAAGTCATTCATTCTTATTTTTGTGGACATACATAACATTAGCAAGTATGTACTGAGAAGCTACAGTCAATATTTTTATTTCTTTAAACAGGTTTCTTAGTGAATCTTTGGGGCCCAGGTTATAAACCGCTCGAATAGCTCTCTTTTGCAGGATGAAAATAGTATTTATATCGGCTGCATTTCCCCAAAGTAGAATGTCATAAGACATTATACTGTGGATATAGCTAAAATATACCAGACGAGCCGTATCCACATCAGTCAACTGTCTAATTTTTTTGACTGCGAAGACTGCTGAGCTAAGTCTACTCGACAGTCTATTAATATGGGGGCCCCACTGCAATTTGGCATCTACAGTTATGCCAAGAAATAAAGTCGAGTCAATTAGGTCTAACGCTTCCCCACTTTTTACGTTGGGAGTTGTAAATTTAATATATTTCGTTTTTTTACTATTCAACATTAAGTTGTTAACACTAAACCAATGCACTACAGTGGAGAGAGTATTGTTAACATCGTCATAATTTAAAGAATGTCGTTTAACTTTAAAAATTAAAGAAGTATCATCAGCAAACAATACTGTCTCATGATCATTATTAACAAGAGAGGGCAGGTCATTTATGTAGATGAGGAAGAGAAAAGGCCCCAGAATAGATCCCTGTGGAACCCCTATACTTACCAGGGCCCCGGGAGATCTCTTGCCATTCACGTCAACTCTCTGAACACGATAGCTCAAGTACGATGTCAGAAGATTAAAATTGTCTATATAAAAATCATGTCTGCTGTATGGGAGCCCCACTTAAATAATTTTTATTCTGTTTTTCTGTTGTTATAGTTGCAACAAAAACACATCATCTATGAAAGTTTCAACTGTCTAAATATCACGGTTCATGAGATAGACAGACAGCGGAGTCTTAATAATGGGTTTACGGAACCCTAAAAATAATGTTTCTCTTTTAATAAAAGTACGTTACTTACGTAAGTTACTGTATAATTCAATTTTATTAACATTATATACTTATGCATTGCATTTTATACCTAAATAAGTTTATATAATTGCATCACAAAAAAATAACAAAAAGAAAAAGACCGCACAGTTTCTTGCCGGTTCTTCTCCGGTGGTAGATTTTTTGTTGACGTTCAATAAGAGCTTAAGTTAAGCCTATATTGAATAAAGATACTTTGACTTTGATTGATTAGCGGTCTTATATGAACCCGCTATACAATAGAAAATGAAAATATGTAAGCTAATGAATAAAACAATTTTTATTTACTGTACTTACATATGAGAGGAACATATTATTACTGTTCCTCTTTTGGCTAGTTTAAATTTGTATTTTATAAAATTCAAACAATCGGCTGATTCAGATATAAATGAATACATTTTCTTTTTATAGCTTTTATATACTATGTTATTTTACAGTTTTATTTTTGTTTTCTTTGAAATAGTGCTTGAACTCACACTTTCATCTGAAATACCTACATGTGATAAAAAATTACTTTCGTCTGGCAAAATTTTATAAAATTGAGGGTCATTTAGGATTGTCAATTATTATTAAAACATTGTATTGTTTTTCCCTCCTTTATTACTAGTTTTCTTTATATATTATATGCGTAGATATAACTTAACTTTACTTGTATATACGACACGACAATAGTTGAAGGTTTGTTAATTTTCAGGCTTGGACCGGCAAACGCTATTGTGCTGTTCTTCACGATGACCTGGCTGAGACATCTGGGATCGGGTCCGCTATGGAAACTCTATGTCACCGAGTCCATAGTGAAGGATTGCCGTAGATATTGGTGGCATCATCTGACATACATCAATAACTATATGAACGCCAACAGCTACTGCCTTGTCCCAACTTGGTATGATTTGATTTATCTCATTTTCTTCAGCCCTAGAAACGATTTAAAACTATATCAAATACTAGCGACCCGCCCCGGCTTCGCATGAGTTCAATGTATTATACATATAAACCTTCCTCTTGAATCACTCTATCTAGTAAAAAAAAAACCACATCAAGATCCGTTGCGTAGTTTTAAAGATCTAAGCATACATAGGGACAGGCAGACAGCGGGACGACTTTGTTTTACACTATGTAGTGATCCTTGCTCGTAGGCGGGATTTAAGCCACAGACTATAATTCATGCATATTACATGATGTCATTTTCTCATTTATTACCAAAGCCCCTTCTAAGTTTTCACGGCTCTTGCCTGGTTAGCCACCCGAAGACGCGTCTCGACCGTGTGACATATTTTGATGGCTCCGTAGAGCAGTTGCTAAGGTGTTGGCTTCGGCGTCGGGGTTCGTGCGTTCCATTTGTGTGATCCAAATATAGTTTTCGCATCTGGGTGTTTTTCCGCGTGAAAGAACAATGCCCACTTCCCATACATTTCAAAACCTGATAATGAAAGTGTATGTATAGTTACAAGGTATACCAGAAAGACTACCTTTAAGTTAGTAAATTAATATCATATAGTCATTTTTACGATTGCTGGTCTACGAAGTCCAAAAATTATTAAAAAATGTTACTTTTTAGGTTAGGATTTGCAGTTCCCTAATATAACAAAATAAATGTGCTAGAACTAACTATTTACGCTCAAGTTTATTCGAAAATAATAATATTAGCCTATCTAAGGTCTAACACGTCTTTTTTACTTGTGAATTCCTAGAAACCGACTGCCCTTACGTCACTGCTTAGACTCGATTATTGTCACTATAAATTGAGTGAAGAGCATTATCTGCTGTTTCAACAGCTCACATAAGTACTTACTAAAAAAACGTAAGTTAAAAGTGATCATTTATCTGCCCTACACAATACATTGGCATGCACCACAATACCCAATAATCGATAATTATAATATCTGATGAATAAAACGGGGGAAAAAATAAAACACTATGTTACAGTGGAATGCTTTATTAATTATCATCATCTTCACTTAAATGTCTTATAACTATTCTATCCAGAAATTCTGCTATAACAGAGATATTTTCTTGATAGTTCATCCGAAGTACCACACTAGTCATAACATGAGTGCAACATCCTTTGGTTCACCAACCAACTAAACAATTACAACAGTATTCGACTATACTAGCTCTGCCAGACACATTATTTTCTATTAAAATGTAGACATAATACTGTTTTCTTTAAATGTGCCAGGACTTAATTTTTCCTCTTATTAGTGTTATGTCACCACTTTCTCTCAGATTATTCCTAGAAAACTCCTGTGTCCCTACATATTTCTATTCAATATGATCCATGAAAGCGAATATGTTCGCCATAATAGGATTTGGCTTGCCTTATTTGGTACCTAATGCAAATAGTATAAGTTCACTAATAACTTAATCTCAGAAACATAAAAAATTACCTTCAGTAGTAGAAACACCACAAACTTCAGCAACATGCCTAATATGTGTGGCAGCATTCTTACAACTCATCCAGCATGAATGGAATATTCTATCAGATGATGATATCTACAAAAGAAAACTATTTACAAAAGAAGTAATAAAGCAATAATTATTATTCATCTTAAAAATATATTTAAAAAAAAATCAATTATGTATTTATTTGTGGTTAAAATTATTACAGCATCAGTCAATTAATAACAGATATAATAATTTACATCTAAAATACAAAAGAGAAATAATCTAGAGTAATAGTATCAAGTTTTATACTAGCAAATGATTAACAATATAGAAACATGAATATGTGATGTTGTGAACTTGTTTGTATAATAGCATTTATCTGTCTTTGCTTTTCTGAAGGATTATCAAAAACTGTGTTCTACAACCTGGTTGAGATAATCCTGAAGCTTGAGCAACATCACAGCTTGTTAATTCCTGGTTTATTCTTCTCATAAAGAGTTCATTACAAGATTTACAAATGTAATCCTCCTCAGTAATCTGAAATAAAAAACATATATTGAGTTTATAATACATATTTTGGATATATAGATCTTTTGAACAGTTGTTTGTGTTATGTCACAGGTATAATTTATAGGAGCTTTGTTAGTTTGATTAGGACATGATTGACATTTTTAGATTAAAAATAATAAACATAAATACTCACAATTACTGGCGACTAACGATGAGTGTGTCACTCGCAGAACTGTCAAATGTCAAAAAAATCCATTTACGTCAGCCGTGCGAACTTTATTACATGCTGCATCAATAATTTATTAATTTATTTTTAATAAATCTGTACTACTAATAATCGATCTTAATTTTTATACAAATAATGTTAATTACGTACTTACTCACTTCTCTAAAACGTAAAATCACGTACAAAACTCAGAAAAAGTTGAATACAGTCAAGTAGGTAGTGTGAAAAATGGAACGTCCTATGCAAAGGATTGTTAAGGTGCGTTCAAAACATGGTAATATGTTTACCCTTGAAGTAAAATAAGCGTAAAGAAATATCAAAAAATATTTTTTTCCCGACCTTCTTTTAACATTTTGATTAGTGTAATTACTATAAAATGAAATTAGCTAAATTTTAATATTTATTTCACTTTTATACACAATCAGGTCAAAAATGTGCATTGTTCTTTATGTTTGTAAAACGTCCTTACACCACAGGATAATGTTGGCCTAAATTAAGGGCAATGTTTTGAGAAAAACAAATATTTTAAACGTTTGTTTTGCAGGCACTTGGCTGCGGACACTCAGCTCTTCATAGCAGGGTTGCTACTGCATATAGCGACTAAGTCTCGCGGTAGGAACTACGTGCTAGCATTATTGCTAGTAACTGGCATGGCGTCGCCAGCCCTGCACGTCTTGTTGCAAGGCTTCGATGCACTCGTCGTCGTCAACCCTGAGTATGTGCACTCCGATAATACTCACATCTACACACGTACAAGCCTTTACGTTCATGTGCCTTAACGGGATGAGTGGAGATAGCAAATGCACCGTAGATATTACCGGTCTTCTTTCAATCTTAAACGTGAATTCTATTGTTTCTCCACGTGTGAAAGTTTAAACACTGGAAAAATTATTGGTGCATGCTAATACAGGTCCAACCATATATATTACAATGTAACATGTTATTATAAGAAAAAGAAATGTGGAAAAAAGTGGACGTATCTGTATAAATTGTGTGGCATTCGAGAATTCACACCATAACCTCTTTTTTATAATTTTCTTACTAAACTTTCCGTGTCAACATTCGACCAACATCTTGCGTTTACATTCAAAGTTTAGTTGATTTTAAATATCTTCATATTAAATCTTCAAGATTAAGTTGAATAAAAAGATTTTGCACTTTTATCCTCTTTGTATAGATAGAAAATAATTTTTATTAAATATACAACATTATAAACTTTCCTTTTGAAATCAAGATAATTTGGGAAACATCACAAAACGTCAATAACGATTAATAAAATGTCTTATAACAATTGCAGATTCTACAGGACCAATCGTAACGATACTTTCTACAAGATGCACACGCTTGGCCATAACAACCTGGCGGCCTACGTCATTGGAATGATTACTGGATACTACGTGTATTACAAACAGAAGAGTGGAGGCGACGTCAAACGGAGCAGGGTAAGACTATAGGTATAACCGTAAGAAATAAAATCTTTGCTAAACTTCACTTCACTTCAGTAGGTAAGCCACTTACGTAATGACTTTTTGCCTCGTCTATTAAAATTCTCATAAACGAAACTACCGACAAGAAAATATCCTGTGTACAACAACATATTATCCCCTTGTAAATGCAGCAAGGAATACCATAGCTCTATATAATGTACACGAAACCGTAGCAATCACTTAGCCACTGCACTAACTTAAGGTATTTCTCGGAATTCAAGTAATAAACTTAACTATAAGATGACACAGAGATTTCTATTGCTGTATACGATGTACATCGACATGATTTTACACAACGTTATCTAGTTCCAAACTAAACAAAGCCTGTACTATGGATGGTAGTTAACTGATAAATATACTTAAAAATACTTTTTTCTATAAATAAATACATATAGGTAATTGATATATTGTGGGTTACGGGAGTTTATCCCAGACCCTTGAAAGAAGAAGAAATAGATTCACTATCCACTGCTGTATAAATGGACCAAAGCATGCTTTAGCATTTGTCAATTTGTGGGCCAGCTCGGTAGAAGGTAGGAGTACTTAAAAAGTACCGGACTAGTAAAAGAAACCGGAGGCCCATTATGAGGGTGGCAGTTTAAGCCTTTATCTGAGACTCTCGGCATCTTTCCTTTGAAAAACAATTATTTTACCTGTACTATATTACCCGTAGGGTTGCAGATGCGTTGCCACCTTTTCGGTCACCGTGCCGTGCTGCGTTGGCTGGTTGTACCGGCTGCGATTTACGTTACCTTGTTCGGCCGCGTGTTCTACGTGGAAGGCTTTGAAGTGCCGCTGACTTTAAAATTGGTGTATGCAGCGACCCAGCGGGTGGTCATGAGCGGTATCACAGCAATCGCCATTATCTGGCTCGTCTTCAAATTCAACGGTGAGAACTTTTCGCAAATGAATTTATCATTTTTTTTTTTTTTAATTCAATGACAAGTTTTGTAACTACAGAAAAAAATAAACCTACAGGATCACCTAATACTATTTACTGTTAAAAAATCTAAAATCAAACATGCTTATACATATAATGAAACAGAAACGTGTAAAAACGTTTTTTTTGGGCATTAAGAAACAAGATGATTTAGCAAGGTACATTCCATGACCTTATGTCGGATTATTGGTATCTGTGACCAACTTCGAGATGCTGAGTCAATTCAATTTACAAATTAAAAAATGTAATTATAATTGCCGTGGTACAAGAACCGTGATAGCTCAGTGTCCGGGCGCTCGCCTTTATTTCAATATACTCGAGCAACCTGAGTTCAATGTGCTGGCACCAATAAGGTTTTTAACTTTAACTGCTGACTTATCACGTGCTCCGCGGTGAAGGAAAACATCGTGAGGAAACCTGCATATTTTCGAAATAATAACAAAAAAAAATATTTAGAACATATGTGAAGTCCGCCAATCCACAGTGGGGCCGCGTGGTGGACTATGCCCTGATACCCTCTGTATAGAAGAGGCCCTTGCCCAGCAGTGGGACATGTATAGGCTGTTACTTTAATTATAATTGCGTGTGCTTGTGAACTTGGCTTTATTGTCGAACTGCTTTTCGCCCGCGGTAATTTTTAAGTATTTATTACTCTTCTGGTTCATTAAATGAAGGTCCACACACTTATTGATTAATAAAGTTTAACGTCCTCTCTTATTTGGGATGTATGGTGTATATAATATTTTTTTAATGTGAAAAGATGCCAAGCAAGCAGGTGGTTCGCCTGATTTTAAATGAATACCCCACCACCCATGGACATCTGCTTCACCCAAGGGCTTGCAGATGCGTTGACAACCTTTTGATAATTGGGCTTATTATTTTATGGCTACTTATGGCTTTTTGTTAACTATTATTATTGCTCTTATAAAATGTACTCAAATGTAGATCACGACTTGTTTATGGGATTCGAGCCTACGACCCGCCTAAACCAATAGCTTAGCAACTGCGCTACCCAGTCACAACATACCTAGACTAAAAATATAGGTACCTAACGTCAAAATCATGTCTACCTGTAGATACACTGTGCCAAGTCCTGGAGTGGCGTGGCTGGGTGGTGCCGAGTAGACTGACCTTCGCAGTCTTTCTCATCCACATGGACATAGTCCACGTAATGCTCGGACAGAAGACGCAACTGGTGCACGTTTCGTTCTTCTTCTTGGTAAGTCTTTATTTACTTAGAAAGAAAGCCTTTAAAGACTTATCAACTTTTATTTAAAACAAACATTGCCCTTCCTTTAGGATAACATTATCCTGTGTTGTAAGGACGTTTTATAAACATAACACATGGACAAACGACCGGATGCGAAACAACTATCTTTGGGGCACACAAATAGTGGTCCCGTGTGGGAATCGAACCCACAACCCCCGACGCCGTAGCCTTCCTTATTAACTGTGCCACATGTTTTGTTGGGTATAATCATCAATTTAGTAGGTACTAAAACTAACGAACGATAAAGGAAAGCTACGCGATGAAACTTAAGTATTTTTGAAATAATGATAATGGCGTCGAATGGTCGCTGAGCACAAGAGGCCTTTACCTAAACTAAATATTTAATACTTTGTACGTAACAGAAGCTGTGATAGCCTTTAATTGAATATACTCGAGCAACCTGAGTCCGATCCCCGTGTCTGCGCCAATGATGTTAATTTTAAGTGCTGTGAGCACGTGATGATACAGAACAGGTGGAAGTAATATCGAGAGAAAACCTACATATTTTCAAAATAATAACAAAAAAATTAATTCGAAGATATGTGAAGTCCGCTAATCCACAGTGGGGCGCTTAGTGAACTATGCCCTGATACACCTTTGCCCAGCAGTGGGACTTGCATAAACTGATACTATTACATAACAATATCCCTGCAAGTCATACCGTAAAATCCTATTAATAAATGAGATTCAAATTGAACGCAACTGTTTGTTTCAGTTGATGAATCACTTTGCCATCGTGGTGCTCTCCTTCTTGATAGCGCTGCCCTTCCACCTCACCATAGAAGCACCGATCAACAGAATGATTAAGAGGATCCTGGATCAGGAGGACGCTACACGATTGGATGCGAAGAAATACAATTGAAAATAAAGATGTTTTCTGCAACTAAGTTAACTCTCATAAAAGGTTTTGCGACAATTTAATTCTCATTTCGATCATTTATTAGATGTGTAATTTGCTTTTAGTAACTTTATTAATATTCTTAGCTGAATAAGATTCGAGTGTTTTGAACATTGTCAGTTTTCTAATTACTTATGTTAATCTCAAAAGTACAACGTAGATTAAAAGCATTCCCATAATTTTGTTGCTTGTTATTTATTTAACCTTTGGTGTTACTACAGCATTAATGTCGATGTATCAATACTTTAACATTTTGTTTAAACCATTGCCCACTTACAGTAAACACACAGGGTAGTAAGTAATACGTAAACAGTTAATAAGTAGTAAGTACACAGGGCAATGTCATCCTACGATAACATAACTGTGTCGTTTTACATACTTAAGTTTCACGTGGACAAACAACCAGGTTCAAAAGAATAATATTTGAAACAAACAAAAAGTTGTCCCTAGTAGGAATCGAACCCACGACCAATAACGTCGGATCCAATAGCTTGGCAACAGCACTACCCAGTCAAATCATCATCAAAACTTAAAAAGCCACCACGGCGACGTTAAAATAACAAGTATTCTCCGGTAATTTATCTGATAATTTTCCTTTAAACACACAAAATTCATTAATTCGGGACATCCGATTCAAGATTAAATTTTCTTGCATACATGAAAGTTAATACTGAAACTATTTAGTCAACATCTCTTCAACGGTACAAGTGAGAAATAATTTGTTACGATAAAAACGTGCTTACTGACTAATAAATTAATTCACAACAGCCAGCCTTACGAACCCGCTCGTTTGTCATTACCACTTTCTGACATAACACCCTGTATTTTTTAAAGCTTTTTATTCGAAGACACTTCAAACGTAGAAATACAGTCAGATCTGGAGTATATCTGTGGGTAACATAGACACTCGCCCCCGGGACAAATAGAACCTACTGTAGTCGATTGTAGTTGCAACAGCTGTTGTCCCAATGGGCGGGTCCGTTCGGGGAAGTACCACGACCTCACAGAAGACCGGCAGAGGAAGACCTCAGTGAAGTGGAAGTGTTGTTCTTCTGCGTTTCGTCCGGTGAGTGAGGTAGCCGCAGTCCACTTTATTGAAATGTGGCAACGCACCTGCAACCCAACGGGTGTTGCAAATGTCAATGGGCAGCGATTATCACTTAGGTGAACCGCCAACTCGCTTGACAGGTTTGCACATAAAATAAATAAATAAATATTTAGGACACATTTGTACACAACATTTTCTAGTCCCAAACTAAGCTTGTACTATGGGTACTAGAAAACTGATAAACATACTTAAACATACTTTTCTTTTGTAAATAAATACATATTTATACATGTATAAACACCCAGACACTAGAAAAAACACCATGATCATCACACAATATTTTTCCAGTAGTGGGGATCGAACCCACACCCTCTGGCGCAGGAGGCAGGTACTCTAACCACTACGCCATTCGGGTCGTCGAAAAAAAACCGTTATGTGGAAATCTGAATGAGCAATGGTTATTTATGAAGAAACGATAATCCTTTTATTTTTAAATTAATTATTCGGTAAATAAAACTATTTTGCAGATTTTACCTCGTTTATTTTTTGTTTTGCTCCCGATCCATCGAACACTTCGTTTTCTTGATTACGGAACGATAACGGTATTAGTTAATCCGAACAAATCCGTAAAGTAATTAAATAAATAAATAAATATTTACGACACATTTTACACAACATTAGCCCAAATTAGTCTCTTTCATTAACTTACCAAATTAAGTAACGCTAGTACTATGGGTACTAGATAACTGATAACTTTTATTTTGTAACTTATTATTATTATAAATATATAAACACCCACACCACGGGAAAAACAACGTGTTCATCACAAAATATTTTTTTAATTAGTTAGGATCGAATCCACACCCTCCGGCTCAAGAGTCAGGAGAATTGGCGTAGTGAATTTGGGAGTGATTGGCGTAGTGGGCAAGTCACCACCCACTACGCCAATCGGGCAATGTCCATTTTTTAAATAATTACAGACTTTGTAGATAAACTGAGACAGTTCTTAGGCGTTGTTAGGTCATTCTATCTTCTTCCCGTTCTCCTCCGTCTGCTTTCGTGCTTTATTGGACTTGAAGATATCTTCAGGAGTCCCGTCATCGGCGCTTCCACCACAAGGTAGAATGGCAACGCCATGGCCAGCGATATCGCCACCACGCCGAAGTACACCACCAACTAAAGGTTAACAATTGTTTATGGGGATGAGTTACAATCCAAAATTAAATTACAAAAGATGCCTGCGGAAAGGACTATGTCGTTTAGTACGTTTTTTTCTAACTGAACTTTCTAGTGTAGTCTATGCACTAAAACCCTTCACTGATCGTAAATGACTCAAAGTGAGCTTCAGAATGTTGTTTATAGTCAAACGTTATGTCGCTTATGTACAGTGCTTAGCAGAATTCCCACACGACTATCGTCATTTTTCTCGCTCCGAGCATCCATCAGTTGCAAAACCTGTATGCAAGATCGTGCTAGGGTAGTAAGCTTAATAAACTAGCAATGTTGCCGCCGCCGTCGATAATTCAATCGATGTATAGTTCCAACAGTTGTATCCAAACAGCTGCCTGTGCCGTACTATTTGTGCTAAAAGATTTGGATTCCTTACCATGTTGAACAAGGACACAAGGCCCAGTTGGGTCTTAAGGCCCATCAGAATGTGCACGAGATTCATGTGCAACAAATACACGCTGTAGGATAGCCTGCTGGGTACCAGCCAACCGTCCCACTCGAAGAAATTGCAGAAGCTTTCTGAAATTAATAAATTTGGACTGTAACGTCACATATACGGATAGATAGAAGCCGTCGAAAATTATCATCGCGAACTCGGTGTGACGCCTTAGTAAAAAAAAACTTGTTTAAAATAAAAAATAAAATAACTTTAAGGAAGACAACATAATAAAAACAGGTCAAGTGCGAGTCGGACTCGCGCACGAAGAGTTCCGTACCATTATCAAGCAAAAAAATCATGTCTGTTGTTTGGGAGCCACACTTAAATATTTTTTTTTTGTTTTTGTTGTTATAGCAGCAACAGATGTACATCGTCTGCGAAAATTTCAACTTTCTAACTGTCACGGTTGTTGAGATACAGCTTGGTGGCAGACAGACCGACAAACAGACAGCGGAGTCTTAGTAATACGGTCCCGTTTTACCCTTGGGGTTCGAAACCCCAAAAAAAAGAGACAGTCACAATATTTAATAACTTGGATATTCGAAATAATCACCTAACAAAATAACTAAATACTATTAGAGAGACAGACAGTCTTGGTTATACGGTCCCGTTTTACCCTTGGGGTCCGGAACTATTAAAAAGAGGCGGTAACAATATACAATAAGTTGGATATTCGAAATAATCGTTACGATACCCAAAAAATACTATTAGCGATAATAACGATTTCTATTCACATACGAATAAACAAGCAGTATGCGCGTCACGAATTTTACGTACGACCCGGTATTTGTGTTTATATAAAAAAAATATAAAAAAAAAAAAAATATATCTAACCTTATTTCAATAAAGTGAACAATATAGTCTTGACATAAATACACTCAAATTGCATATCGTTGTTTATAAAGAAACTATTGAGAACAAAATACCGCTCAGCCTCATGGTGACAGAGATCGCGGCCGCAGCGGACAGTAAACCCATTGCGGCCCGGTGTGTGCCGGCGTACAGTAAACGCACGCCAAGTGAGGCCCGCTCTCCCTCCCCATAAAACCCACGCCCCGTCAGGAAGAGGAAGCCCATCGCCGGGATTATTAACCAGCTCAGCGCCCCCCATCGCTGCGGTGACAGTACAAATAAGACCTAACCAACTCCGAATCCAGTTAACCGGGGTAGGGCCACGCAGCAGCCTCGGCTGTTGCAAGAATGGACGGGCCCGTCCAGGTAGGTACCACTACCTCACAGAAGACGGGCGTGAAGTGGAAGGGTTATATTTACTTTTTCTGCTTCAAGAATGGGCGGGCATGTTAGGGTAGGTACCACTACCTCACAGAAGACCGGCGTGAAGTGGAAGGGTTATACTTCCTTTTTCTGTTGCAAGAATGGGCGGGTCCGTCCGGGTAAGTACCACGATCTCACAGAATACCAGCGTGAAGTGGAAGGGTTATACTTCCGTTCCCGTCTGTTGAGTGAGGTGGCGGTTATAACTTAACATCTGGTGAACCACCAGCTACCTTCTCACATAAAAAATCAAGTGGATCCTCTTTATGAAGGAGTGACAATAAAAGCGTTCAACCCGATCGTTACACACATTGCTAAGCGCCCACTATTTAAATATTAGCAAAGTTTGCACCCTATGAGTGTAGACGTCAGTGTGTGGCGTTAATTACTTAACATCATGAGAACCGCCTGCATGCTTGATGAATATAAAAAAGATAACACATCACACGATAGCTTTGAAACAAATTTGAGATACTGGCAATTTGTTAACTAAAAAGTACCTAATATCCCCTTCCATCGCGCTACCTGTAAAGCTGCGGTAATTCCCTAGTGGAGCGTTCTCCACCTAATATTATATGTCAACACAATAGGGTTGTGGTTGCGTTGTCAGCAAAGTTATCACTATTTACTTAACTTATATTTGGAGAAGTCTACTTTCTTCTTCTGCCAATTGTAAACTAGCGTGCCGATACCTAGACCAATGACGTAACTGGATAGGTTGTTGTGGCCATGGATATGCATATTGTGGAAAGTCCTATCGGACCAATGCCGATACACTCTGAAAAGACAATTCATTAACTTTCTAAAGTTTTTAGTTTATACATTACGACAACTTACTTAGATCGATAATTAACAAATAATCGATAGGCAATAGATAATCAAGAATCAAGTAGGCGTAGATTATATGAACTTTATAGTGAAAGGTCATATAATAACTATCTTTTGACAACTCAAAAATATTTAAAAAATTATTTACTAAGAACAAAAATCAAAAGCAATAAAATTAATTAATTGCGAAACGGGAAAAGTCACGTAGAGCAATGCTGATTAAATTTTAGCTGATGGTAATAATACCGTTTTTATCAGGAGGTTGATAAATTTTTCAAGAAATTCTTCTCTGACATTCCAGTATCAACAACTAAGTCGCTCTCTTCCCCGTCGTTGCCGAGTCAGTACTTAAGAAAGGTGTCATGGAACGTAATGACAACTTTAAATTACTACTGTAAACAAGAAGGATATTAAATAATATAATAAAATATTCAAGTATCTAGATGTTATAAGAACTGCCGATCTATGGGGGATATCTATAAAAGTTCTATTATTCTATTTTTAATATTTAATATTGTTGTACTAACGTGGTGAATTTCCTGACCTTATGAAACATAATAAAATCAGTCCTGTATTTAAATCTGGCTGTACTTCGGACCCAAATAATTTTCGATCTATCTCTGTACTGTCAAACGCTTAATATTTTTTTTTAAATTATATTGCATTAAATGTTACTGAATATAACGTTTATTGCATAATAAGCAATATGGGTTTATTAGGGGTTGCTCAAAAAATATATAAAATTTGTAAATACACTCTGGAAATTAATTGAAAGAGCATGTCAAGTGGACTTTACTAATTCATGATACTTTTGATTTTTCAAATTAATCGGATGCAACAAATGCATGATGAAAAATTAACGAATACACGTGCATTAATTTAATCTACGTGGAAGTAGTTTTTAAAGCAGCGGAGACGTCGTGAGAAACCAGTTATTGTCGATAATACATAATTCACTCGAGATTGCCAAGTATGGTTTTTGTCAATGTTTCATCGATCGTAAGCGAATAAAACAGCAGCTGAGTTTAATTTATTTGGCATTCGATTACTCCCAACTACAACGGCTTGACATTTTAATGGAGTAAATGAAAGACCAATAGTAAAGTAAAGTAACAGCCTATACACGTCCCACTGCTGGGCAAAGGCCTCCTCTATACAGAGGGTATCAGGGCATAGTCCACCCACGCGGCCCCACTGCGGATTGGCGAACTTCACATATCTTCGAAATATATATATTTTTTTTGTTATTATTTCGAAAATATGCAGGTTTCCTCACTATGTTTTCCTTCACCGCGGAGCACGTGATACGTCAGCACTTAAAGTGTCGGGCGAGCGCCGGGACACTGAGCTATCACGACTCACAGACCAATAGCTTTAAACTGAAATCAAAAAATCACCTCGTAAAGATCTGCAAGAATTAATTTACTTTGGATCAGATTTACTTTATTCAAATTCTTTAGCAAAGATCAGATCAAATCGCAAGGTATATAACGCACTAAGGTGTCGACAGCCTGTAAACAGTTTAAAACGTCTGAATTTAAAATAACGTTGAACGTGAAAAAACTCGTAAAGTCTTCATTTAACAATGCATTCGCTGAAATACAAACTGTAGCAAAACCAATGCTTACTCGGGCGTCTGCAGCACCATCGCGTCCATATCCTGAAGCCACACGTGGAGCGCTGGCGCAGCGATGCTCATCAGCAGCAAGACGGAGAGTGCCAAACTTCTGCCTCGAGACATCGTTGCCAGGTAAATCAGCATGGTAAACACAAACATCTGTGTGTCCGCCGCTACATGCCTACCAAGAAAGATATACGTTTAGTGTTTATTTTTTACAATTATTTGTTATAAAGGTACGTCGTAGATATCTTAATACATATATTTGCTTCACGGACTTATCGCGTTTACCTCTAATATCTATTTTTAACTGTACCTGTTAAATTTGTCACTGCTGTAGGACCACGCACCAGTCTTTGTATGAACTGTCATGCTCGTCGTATATCGAGGAATAGATTTCCAAGAGCTTTAACATGATACTCACCAGGTCTGCACAGCGCATAGCTTGTCTTCCGGCTGGTAGTTATTAAGGTAGGCGAGGTGGAGATACCAGAAGCGGCGGCATTGCGCTACCACACCCTCGCTAACGTAATGTTTCCAAAGGGGCCCAGAGCCAAGGTGCCTCATCCAAGTGGCAGAGAAGCCGATCATGACAGCGTTGGCAGGAGTCAATCTGGAAACAAGTCAGAATTACCACTTACAATAAATTAAGGAACAACCAACATCCATATCATATCAACCGTGTTCAAGCAACAGTAATAAGGATAAATTGTACATACATTTCAACGAAACCGTAAGTAGACACTTAAAGTCTCATCTAGTTCCTCGCTCAGGATTTTGAATGTACTTCACGAAATTAGTGAGTATTATGACAGTAAGACGTGACTTATTACTATTTTTTATGTGATACGGTGGCAAGCGTGCCAGCGGTTCACCTGATGTAACAACGGCTACCTCACTCACAAGACGAAACGCAGGAGTATATCACTTCCAGTTCACGCCGGTCTTTTGGGAAGTCATGGTACTTTCCCGGAAGGACCTGCCCATTCGTGCAACAACGAACTGTTGCGTGGCTCTGCCACAGTGAAAAAATTAGCAATAAGTGTAATTAAAATGAGTATTTCTCCAATTCTTCTACATCTCCTGCATCTTACCTCCACCAGCGAGCGAACAACAGTTTCGGTAGCTGTGACCACGTTATCCTCTCGGTTTCAGAGCCTATTTGAATGTAATACGCCTGTAGGAAGGCGGCCATGAAGAAGAAAATCTGCACGATCATCAAACCGTTGAAAACCAGGTGAAAGTGCAAAGTCTCGTACGCCTGAAAGTTGAACTCATATTTTGTTTCACGTCCGACTATGATACGGAGAAAGTGCCAAAGAAGTTTGACATTAATGATTATATATAAGATTTAAAACCCAAATGTCACTCCATTGGCAAGCGAGCTGACGGTTATTGTTAAGTGATAACCGCCGCCCATGGACAGAAGATAGCTCAGAAGATTGGTAAGCCGAAGTTTTTTATGTGTAAAGTTTGCAAGTAAGCAGTTGGTTCACCTGATGTTAACTGATCACCGCCGCCCATGCACACCTACAACCTAACGGGCGGCAGAGGAATTGCCAAACGTTTAAAAATTTGTCCCCAGTTACCTCCCCACGCCGCGCTTTTTTGTGAGGCCGTGATACTTCCCGGACAAACTGCGGATCCATGCAACGGCAGAAGCTGTTTCGTGGCCCCAACCAAAAAGCGTGAAGTGGCAATGGGCCGGCTATATAGCTCTTGAAACTTTACGTAAACCGATGGGGAAGAGAGGTTCTGTCTCGGCTGGACACTGCAGTGTAGCCTCCCCTAGCTGCACTAGCTGCAGCAATATTTGCAAATGTGCAGGCAGTCCATAGATGCAAGATGGTGCTTCGTGGCAGCTTGCGATTGAGACCAATCTTCAGCAGTTGATTAAAACAGGCTGAAATGATGATGATGATAAAGAAATAGTAAAACCAGTACCTTTTCGAAATTACGGGGTTGATCGATAAATCCCATCGAATTGATAAATATAACATGTGCTATTATCATGAGACAAGCCGTTACAGATCTGAAATTGTGAAGAATTTTCAATAACTATAAACGTCCTCGCCATTTAAATTATCGTATCGAGCATCATTTAAATGTTAGATGCGACGAAATCACCTTGACTTGGACAAGCGAATAAGGCGATTAGAATTAATAAAGGACGCGAACAAATAAGTTTTCATAACAACCATTATGCAGTGTCAATTTAAATCATTACTTTTAAGAATTTATCCAATACTTGGCCAGCTCGGTTTCGCATGGACAAATCTCAATTAAGGTTGCAATTCGATAACTGCAACCTTCATAATAATAAATCTTTTATTCATTAAAAAAAGAAATATACGTTTCATCTGTCGATAGTCATTTTTAGGGTTCCGTACCCAAAGGGTGAAACGGGGCCCTGTTACTAGGACTTCGCTGTCTATCTGTCTGTCTCTATGTCCGTCTGTCACCAGGCTGTATCTCATGAACCGTGATAGTTAGACAGCTGAAATTTTCGCGGATGATGCATTTCTGTTGCCGCTATAAGAACAAATACGTCCTAAAAGAACAGAACAAGAAATATTTAAGTGGGGCTCCCATACAAGAGACATGATTTTTTTGTCGTTATTATAGACAATGGTACGGAACCCTTCGAGCGCGAGTACGACTCGCACTTGGGTGTCTTTAAATCTACCAACGGTTCGTAATGAGGTCCTCTCACGAAGAAGAAACAGGCGAAAGAAACCGGTATCCTCTTTTTTTATCATTTTTGGTCCCGAAAATATTAGAATATTATACATATTTTACTTGGGACAGCTTGGGAGCGACCATCTCATTCCCAGAGGTCGTATTTCATGTCTTCCATTTATTAACCGACTTCAAAAAAGAAGGAGGTTTCTCGATTCGACCGTATGTATATTTTTTTTCATGTGTTCGCGGATAACTTCGTCGTTTATTAACCTATGATTTTCATGATTCTTTTTTGTTGGAAAGAAGATATCCCAAAGGTGAAATCGGATCTGATGTTCGCATCCGAGAGAAACCGAGGGCAATCTTCAAATGCTATAGGTATTAACAATGTTTTTAGTTTCCTGTTTGAAGTCGGTTTTTTTTTTGTTAAAAATTATTATATTATAACAACCCTCCTTTTTAAAGTATCACCTAAATAAATATCTGAAACCTGTTAGTAGGCAGGCTGTAGTCTTTTAAAGTAATCTTTTAAAGATTATCAACGTATTTACATCCCCTCAGGTGTAGCAGATGTCCATGGATGCGCGGTAATAACTTCAATTAAAAAAATCTTGAATTAAATCGTTTCAAGGAACCGTATGTTTAATATGATGTTTTGAATTAAATTCTCTACATATGTATGACACAGAAGCAAAAGTGTGCTAAGGTAAACAAGTAATCTTTTTAAAGGACATTATAATTTTTGAACGAACAAACTTATACTTAAAAAAGGACAAAACATATTACTCACCTTATTCCATGTAATCCTTTAAGACTATTATGTCTGGAGTCATTCACCTCGGATTTCACCAAATCTCTCCAATTTTTTCGCAAAGAGAAGTTCATCAATAGTCTATTTTCTGAAAATTTTTAAAACTTATTACTATAAGTAAAAAGTATCATATTTTCTCGTCGATTAAACAGAGGCAGCCAACGAACATGCTTGTAAGAAGCTCAAATATTTCTTTAGCGTTTGATTCAATTAAATTAATCTATAGATAGAGTCTAAACTGTCTTTTACACTAAACTATTTAAATTATAAAACATTTACCATTCGTGGCGTTCTCAATTGTATCAGTTTGATGGTAGAGATAATCGTAAAGCTTCCAATAATAACTGGCGTTATTAAAGCCACTAACACTGCTAACATAATCCAATCACCAATATCGATGTGTGGTTGTTCATTAGGTTTGTCACAGTAATAAATATTAGATAATTTAGCCTCTAAGTTGTATTCATTCCAAATGGATTCATTGAGGCATGCCTCAAGGGTAGAATGTAGATGCACGTTTTCATGTAGAGATCTATTACCGACGAATTCTTTGCATGTTTTTGTTACACATACCCCCCTTTCGATGTACGTATAATTATAATGTTTTTGTGTGTACGCCGAGTATTCCTGAAAAATAATAAATATTTTGTGCAATTCACGATATTAATGATAAAAATTAAGCAACTCAACTGCTGACCTGCCGCAACAAATTGTGATGTGACCGCACTACACATGTCGATTGTACGTATCGCTTAATAGTGTCTACTATACTCACCGTCATAAATAAAGTTAGCGCTCTAGATTAAAGAAAATATGTACCTTCGTATTTATGTACAAACACTGTGACGCAAAATATTATTTCCTGAATCTACACAACGCACATAAAACCATTAGAAAGCCAAATTTGGTCTCTTTTTTCTACATTGCCACAACTGTGGACACAATGCGACTTTGATGACTCCGTGGCGCAGTTGCTTAAGATATTGGCTTCGGCGTCAGGGGTCGTGGGTTCGATTCCCACGCGGGACAACTATTTGTGTGACCCACAGTTAGTTGTTTCGCATCTCGGTGTTTGTCTGCGTGAAATTTATGTTTGTAAAACGGCATTACAACACAGGATAATATTATCCTAAAGTAATGGCAACGTCGTTTAAAAAAATGCGACTGTGTACACTGCACTGTAAAAATAAATAGGATATTACTTTATAAAACTTTATGAATTTATGGTTCTTTTCCAAACCAGTGGTAGCATTTTAACAATCAACAAGCAAGTGTAATACTTCTATATTGAGTGAAGATTTTTAAACAAAATTAACCGTGAAGAAATTTGAATCTTTCGGACTTACTTTGATAAGTTGCATTAGTTCACTGGCCTTTCCGGGGTACAAATCCAACTTGACCACGCAGTACAGGCCGTCGTCGGCGCTCAAGCAGGAGTCGTAGCGATCCATTCCGAATAGGTGCGGCATGCGTTCGTACTCCGTCTCTTTAACGCAAAGAGAAGAAGTCCAGAAAGAACGTCAAATATTTTAGGTGTTTCGTTTGAGGAGTTTCAGTATCGATAAGAAGATAATCGGTTCCTAGACGGAAGCGGTACAACACTAATCCTACACAATCGACACACGCGGCCTCTCCCTAGTTCGGATGTAATGTCATGGTTGGACCGTTGGCGCGAATTTGTACCGCTCTGATAGGAATTAAAAATAAATTACTTTTTGCTTATTTGGCCACGCGTTTTCCTCCTAATAGTATGACGTAAACAAAATTTGAATTAAATAATAACCGTTGGAAATAATGTATATATACCTATATAATTGTTATTACCTCCGCTCACTTTGACAGCAAAAAATCAACCTTACATTACGTTTTAGCGTTTTATGAATATAAATTGCACTCGTAACGAAAAAGGAGAACTGATATTGAGCTATAGAAATTGCAATGTATCTTAAAGCAAT